GTTCAATCAGTCAACTCCTCAACCGACTCATCCTCTTCCTCCAGCTCGACATTCTCCCCCTCCTTCCGTTCGACATCGTCCTCATCCTCCCGACGGTGTATCTTTGTACGTTCTAGCATTCAATCCAAATTTGCACACTTGGAGAGCAGTAGAGCGAGGCCCACGGGTCACCCTGAGACTGGCGGAAACCCGAACCTTCCTGGGTTGTTGGGCGAGATACAGCATGTAGCCAGTTCTTTTTCCCCCCAATTTCAGGGCCGATTTGTTTTTTTTGGCTTCCCCTTCTCTGTGTCCGCCCGTGCATCACCGATGAGCAGCCGCCCGAAATGGAAGGAAAAAGAACAACCTGATGCAGCAACTCATGGCCTGATGCTCCCCGAGGACACAGCGCGTTGGTGACACGCACCCGTCCCCGCACAGTTCTGTGTGGCATCGGATTTTCTTGGGCTCGGCGGGGGCATCTCGCAGGGACCACTCTTTTTTTTAGGAGTGTACATGATGAAGAAATAAACGAATACATCAAAAAAAGAGAAAAAAAAGTAGAACGAAAAAAAAAACCCTAACATATATTAATTGGTAAAGCCTTACATGTGCTTTCAAAGCAAGATGAAAAAAAAACGAGGGGGCATCATCATGGTGGCTGATGAGCATTCTTATGGGGAATGATAGCCGTAGGTGGTTAAGTTGTAGCCTGACTCGCAGGTGGTGGTGGGGCTATGGGGTCCGCTGTCAGGCGTAACCCTACCGTGTGGGGGTGGCATGGTGGTTCTAGTACTATTGGGTAGCGACGATGGGGGACGGAGCTTCACCTTGCGAAGGCGTGACCATGGGGGGTGGTGAGCATCCTTGTGGGGGGTAACAGCAACATGGACAACTGTTCCACCTCTAAAAGGCTCGAATCACGGGTGGTGGGTTGGGCTATAGGGCCCACCGAAAGGTGGGACCCTGCCACGAGGGTGGAAGGGTGAGGGGGGTGCCCAGGGTGGATGTTTTGGGGGCTATATGGGTCATCACTCGGACTCATCAGGATTATCCTTTTCACCGGTCAACTTGTGTTCGGTGGGCGCTATATCCCAACCCACGACCCTCGATTAATGGTGGCACTCTTGTCCATGGCATTATCACTCCCTACAAGGACGCTCACTGTCCTCGATGATGATGCCTTCACAGAATGAAGCTCCTCCATCCTTTGCTACCCAATATCAACAGAACTGCCCTTCACCCTGCACGGCAGGGTCATACCTGATGGCGGACCCCATCGCCCAACCTAACACTGGCGTTTCAGGGTGGAACTTGATTGGCTCCTGCCATTATTCCCTACAAGAGTGCTCATCGTAGCTCCGTGAAGGCATCATCACGATGGGCGATGAGCGTTCTTAGGGAACGATGGTACGAGCTGGTTAATTTCTACCTCGAATTGCAACCTAAGTTGACACCACTTCGCAAAAAGAAGAGCTCAAACCACCGGTTCACAGAAGCCTACGTTGACAAAGCTACCTTTTCTTTTCTTTTTTTCTTTCCCTTTTCTTTTCTGTCTTCTCCTCATGCAGGGGACAGCTATGCAATTTTTGAATATCTATGGGCTTCCCAGCAGGGCCCGGTAAGAGTTATGGGTTGAATTCCCAGCCTCCGGAGTTTTTTTTTATCTCGGAAACGTTCCGGCCTACCCATCTCTGCTCTGTACGTGGAGTACCCAAGCTCCTAACACCTGGCGCGGGCTGGAAAGCTGACAACTACTTCCACAGCCAGCCAGGAGGGGCAAGCCACCTAGCTTAGCTGGTGAACCCGAAGCGTGGCACAGGGGGGCTGTGGGAAATCGAATGGACAACCGGTGGAATCGAACCCACGACCTCCCACATGCCGCCGCTTACGTGCTCAACCAATTGAGCCAGGCCACTACCTTCATGGTGGGCGATGAGCCTTCTTGTAGGGAATGATGGTACGAGCTGGTTAATTTCTTTCCTCGAATCGCAGCCTAAGTTGACACCATTTCACAAAAAGAAGAGTTCAAACCACCAGTTAAAAAACGAGCCTAAGTTGACGACGAAGCTACCTTCCAAGGCGTGCGAGCCTCCAACCGCTTGGTTTGTTAGTGGCGTATCCACGTTCACCACAATTCCAGGCCCAAAGAATCTTTTTTTTCTTTTTTTTTCTTTTTTTCTTTCTTTTTTTTTTTTTTGCCCAGAGCATCAGGGCCTTACCTTGTAAATAGGCAAGAGCACGACTTCGCTTCCAGCAAACTGTTTTTTTTTTTTTTTATCTTCAAAAAAATTGAGAAAATATTGACAGCATTTCTCCTTTTCCAATTGGTTAGCAAATGGGAATACTCATCAATTACCTTATTTGAAGTTATTTCCAATTGTGTTTGGGAAAAAAAATAATAATAAAAAAATTGTTTGGTACATAATCTACACTTGTACTCATACAAGATTTGAACTCTTGACTAAGTGGTCAACATCAAATACAGGACTTGAACTCCCACCTACCTGGCCAACATCAAAGATGCGGGACATTAAGAAAATTTACAAAGAAGAAGACGGAATAAGGGCACGCTCGCATCAATATTTTATTATTTTTTTAACTGCATCGGGCCGCCTGCTGCCAGCGATCACCAGGGGTCTAGTCTTTGGCCTCTACAACACCCTGGGCTTCAAAAAAAAAAAAAAAAAAAAAAAAAAACTTCATCGGGTCGCGCGTAAAGCCAGATACGTCCAGGAAACTCCTAGTATGTACAGGTATATGCCCTAACATAACCCATAACCTTTGCTCGACAAATATAGCATGAGTTTGCCTGCTCCTCGTAACTGTCTTCAGCACGCCAGTTCAAATCGATGTGTCCTGGAGAATCAAACTTCACACCAGGATTTTTCCTGGCTGAATCTGGTCATCTTTGGGATCAAATGCATACAGGAAAGTGCTAATGTGAATCAGTATGCTGTGCCCTAACATACCTTTTCTCACCACGTACTATATACTATATAGCTGTCAAATCGCTGCGTCCTGGAGAGACCCAGAGTTGTCGTTTTTTTTTTCTGGGTCATTGTTATCACTCTTCACGCCAGGACTTTTCTGACCGAATCTGGTCAACTTGTGAGATCGGATACGGACAGGAAAATCCCAGTATGAATCAGTAGGTTTTGCCCTAACATACCTTTTCTCACCAAGTATTAGAGAACTTTACCACCTCCTCGTCACTGCCTTCAGCCTCACAGGGGAAATCACTACCGGTAGGTTCCAGGCCCTGGAGAATGAATCTTCACACCAGGGCTTTTGCAACCGAATCGTATCATGTTTGAGGTCAGATACATGCAGGAGAATCCTAATATGATGAATAAGTACATTCCCTAACATACTATTGCTCACCAAATGATAGAGAACTTTGCCACTTCCTCGTCACTGTCTTCAGTCTCACAGCGGAAATCGCTCGGTTCCAAGTCCTGCATGATCGAGCTTTCCTTCTCAACGAGCTCAACTTCTCCTGTCTGCATCTGCTGTGTAAGTACATCTTTCTCAGCCTCCTGCTTTCTCCTATCTTCCTCCACCTCCCCTTCCTCTTCCTCCTCCTCCTCCTCCTCCATCCCATCTTCATCTGTCTGCTCTCTGCTGCTTCTTAGACAAGCTTTCTGTTCATCCTCAACCAACACGGTGTTTGCGCAGTTCGCCAACCAATCCCCTTCCGTGCTTGCCCATCCTGCTCTCCCTCCTTCCCCTGACTTGTTGTTTTTTGTCCCCGATTTACAAAGCGCCAGTGAAGCAGGAAACACATTGTCAGGCTCTGCGTCTCTCGGCTGATGTACATTCGCTGCAACTTCTGCGCTCCGTCCGCTTCTGTGATATGTCCATAGTGCATTTCTGTCATCGAAACCTGACACCGTTTCGAGGCAAGATCTGTCCTTGCTCTCCCCTCTCTGCTCCTCGTCCCCTCCTTCTCCTTTCTCCTCTCTTCCAAGATTGCTATCATCCCCATCTTCGTTCTTCTGAGACACCGAACGATATGCTGGATGGCATACGCCGTCACCCTCCTGTGCATCATGAGATGCCATTGCCTTTCCCTCTCCTTCCTCTCTCTGACACACAAATAGATCTCCCTGCTTCTCCTGCCCCCAGCATTGATCCTCACAACCTGTCATCAGCGCCTCGTCGTCGTCCTCCTCCTCCCTCTCCCTTTCCTCCACCTCTCTTCCACCATCGCAATCCTCCTCATTCTTCTTCTTCTTCAGATGCATCAGACCACAGGCTGAACAGCGTATGCCATCATCCCCCTGCACAATGTGGCACCCAATCTTTGCCTCTCTCTCTCCTACCTCTCCGTGACACGAGAACGACCCTCCCTTGTGCTCTTCCCCCCAGCTATTCTCCTCGTCCTCACCCTTCTGACACATCGAGGCAAAAGCTAAGCCACCACGTGCGCAATCATCCTCCTGCATGTCATGACGCAGAATCATTCTCTCTCCCTCTCCCTCTCCGTCTCCCTCTCCGCCTCCCTCTCCGTCTCCCTCTCCGTCTCCCTCTCCGCCTCCCTCTCCGTCTCCCTCTCCCTCTCCCTCCCCTGCCTCCTGCTGACCGACGAACGGATGATCCTCCCCCCAGCCCTGATCCTCACTACCTGTCAGCAGTGACGAACAGTCTGGTCCTGCAAGTCGGACACAATCTGTGCCATGGACTCTTTCAAAGGCCACATCGCTTCCCAGGTTTGCGTCTTCCCAGGGTCGGGACCCCCGGCAAAAACTTCCATCAGTTTCACTGCCAATGTCTGACCCAGGGTGGCTGTCGGGACCCCGGTCTTGGGTCCTGCACACTCCATGCATCCTTATCTGATGATTGTCATCTCTGCGCTGCCATGCGCCCCTCCTGAAACCCTCGCCTCGGGTACCGCACCCTCCATGCATCCATATCTGTTCCTTTTCACCTACATGCTGTGAACTGCCCCTCTCAAAACTCTCACCCTGAGTGCTGTACACTCCCTGCATCCATATCCGGTGATTCTCAGCTTTGCGCGACTGATCTGTCTTTCCTGCGCTCAATCCGATCTTCCGGACGTCGTCATCGGCTTGCTCGTCCTCTGCTCGAGATGAGGTCCTCCGCCCCTCCTCCACCCAACGCGCTGACGGCAAGTGTTGTCCTCTTCCAAATGACAAAGAATCTGGCACATCTATACCCTCAGTGCCGAGGACAGAGGAGAAAGCCGGTACAGACGAGCGCCCTTTGAATTGTCTAGGTTTCCGGTTCCCATAGTCTGGCTCCTGCCCGACATACTCCCTTCTCCCCTCCTCCAGCTGTACTTCCCTCATCTCTTCGACTCCAACAACCTTCTTGTAAAACCTCCACGGCATTCCAGTATCCGATGGGTCCAGCATTCGCCGATGAGCTTCAGTGGGCCAGTCCTCTTGATGGCCATGCTCTCTATCAGAGGCCAAGCATCTAACATCAGCGTCAACTGTTCCATGCCGCCTCCTCCCCTCCTCCGCCAGCTGTCTGTCCCTCATCTCTGCCCTCCCGTCTACCCTGTTCAAAAATCTCCACGGCATTCCAGTCTCTGGTGGTCCCGGCATTCGACGATGAACTTCAATGAGCCCGTCCTCTTGACGGCCATGCTCTCTGTCAGAGGCCAAGCATCTGACGTCAGCATCAAGTGTTGTGTACCTCCTCCTCCTCCCCTCCTGCAGCTGTCTGTCCCTCATCTCTGCCCTCCCATCAACCGTGTTCAAAACCCTCCACGGCATGCCAGTCTCCGGTGGTCCCGGCATTTGACAATAAACTTCAGTGAACCAGTCCTCGTGTACGCCATGCTGTTTATCAGAGTTCGAGCATCTGACCTCTGCACCAACTGTCGTATCCAATCCGTCCCTCCCCACAGTGCACTGCTGAGTTGGTGGAGTTTTTTTCTGCCAAGGACTCTGAATGCCACACGAGAGATCACTCACATCTGTTGATGTTTGTGCGCTCCTTGCCTCGGTCAATCTCGACCATTGCCGAGGTTCGCTCCTTTCTGCGCACTCGTTCGTTGTCCCGGAGAACTGCTCTCGCTGAAACACGCTCATCTCTGCCGGCTTTGGATGCTTGCTTGGCATCTCCAGAGATTTTGAACGATAGTTGGCATATTTGAACTGAGTCTTCGAGTCCATGCTTGCTTGCTCTTCGATCGGCATCCCCCACAAGCTGTTTTGATCGTCGGCACTCGAGCATCTGCGGCGCTTTGGCAGGTAAGCTTCCGCCCCCCCTCTCGACCTCTCGCGAGTAGTATGCACTCCATTTAGAACAGTTGTTCCCTTTCGAAAGCGGGGTTGTCTTATCGCCGCAACCTCTCGACTCTGATACTTGAACCAGATTCTCCTGAACAAATGATGCACCTCCGCAAAGTTCACAGATAACTCCTCTACACATTTGCACTCATCAGCAATCTGCAATGCAGCAAACAATAATACAATTCAGAAAAAGAGTCCAAATCTAGGACAGCAATCATGTTTTTCTAAAACAGTTCGGACCGTTTCTCGATATATGCGACTCATCCTTGCACAGGGGATATGCTATATTTTTCTGTATCATGCAAATTTTAACGGATCTCCTGGGGACAGGGACTGTGAAGATGTATAATTATGATTAAATTATCTATAATGGGAAGTCGCCCGGCCGGGCACGCCCAGGGCAGTTGGGCAGAGGGGGGGTCGCCCAGCAAAACTAGACGGGTCGAAAAAGAGGCAAGGATCCCCCCCTAAAAAAAAAAAAGGCTTCAGGCCAAGACTGCACTTGGCCATAGCAGTCAGAATCCGGTCTTAACTTCGATTTTTGGTGATGGGTCATCCAAGGGGGGTTATGAACAGACTGAAAACAGTGACTTAAGGGGTTTAAACTTTGAAAGGGTAAATTTCGACTCATGTTTTCTCATTTCTTTTTATCTTAAATTTAACAAGGAATTTCGACGTGGCCCTCAGCCAAACATTTTCGTATTGCAATTTTTCAAGACACTTTTTTTTCGGATTTTTTTTTGTTTGTATTTGACTATTTTTTTAATATTCTGCGCTCAGATCGCCCGGGACCCTACGCGGACCCTACCCGCCCCTGGCCCCCTGGGAGGGTACCCGGGCGACCTTCCCCCACCCACGCCGCCCGGGGACCAGCACAGATAATTATGACTGCTTGATAAGAATCTCATTCACTAATCATTTTTTAACTCAGCTCCCCTACCGTGCACATCACATCTTTTTCGATTGCACCACAAAATTTCTCGATCACGTAGTCAGGGCTTACAACTTGCACCCCGTCACGGATTCATGGAGCTTAAACCACAATTACCTTTGACAAGCAAACTTTAAATTGCGATGAATTTGTCTACCACCGCATTCTTTCTCCCAGACCTCTTTGGCTGACGGCGTGAGTCGCAAAAAAAAAGAAAAAAAAAAAAAGGCGCCGGTCTGTTTTGAACTTGGCGTGGAGGACAAACCCGCCACGGGGAAAAGAGGCTCGCAGGGAATGGTGGTTTGATATGTCACTCTCTCTTTTTTTCGATCGAACAGTGTTCGGCCCATTTTGCATCCCAAGTGGCATCAGCGGGCTCTGCAAAAATCTGCAGCAAATTGCATTGGCAGGCTGCAGGACTTGTATCAGTATGCGGTGCAAATTCCGTCAGTCCGCAGCCAAAAGAGCTCAGTGCACTCTCGCTCCAGGTCGCCAATCAGGTTCGAGCAGGGTTCAGTGTAGCTCAAAGAATCTCTCCATCTCTCTTTCATGTGTTTATCCCCTCCCCTTTTGCTCTGCCTCTTTCTCACAGCGTACAAGTGGGCCGTTATGGCACATGGGGATGTGGGAAGCTCACGCTCAACTTCATTAACTTGGCGAGCCTTGCATGTGAGAGCCAAGAGCAGGCACCACTAGCACTCTCGGGAAGGCTCCATCTATTAGTGGGGAGCAGCACCTGCTGGAAAGCGGATCCAGCGTCCCTGAACATTGTAATTGCTGATGAAGGGGGAGTAAAAGAAGAATGAGAAAAATGAATGGTTTCAGTGTGCCCCTCATATTGGTCTTGTCTTCTTATTTTTAAAATTTTACCGTTTTTTCGTCAAGTGCGCTCTTTAAGTTCATAGATATGTGACACTATATAGATATAGATACTGTCACTAGAGAGCCACCCAGTGAACTTTATGTGGAAAGGGGGAAGGGCAAGAAACGGGGGCATGTGATAGACTGTTTCCTTGGAGTCTCACCGACTATATACTCCCACATACTTTGCAAAACGAAGGAAGCCATATACAGCCAGAGAGAAGAAAGACTAAGGGAATGGAGATGATGATGGCATGGCAAGGGCTTCAGCGGGATGGAAGGAAATTGGGAGAGATGGAGTGGGAAGAAGGGAGGGGAGGGTTCGGATATGAGCTAGGGAGACCTATCACAGGCAGATGCGAGACACATCGGGGAGCGACGGGAAAGGTGGGAGAGAGCAAGACGGAATCACATGGCATGGACAGTAGAGATACGTTTTTTATATTTTCCCCACAACAGCACCAATTGCACCCAAAAGTAGACTCAGAATCACGTGGCATGCAGACACACCCTGCTGCCTGTGCAGCTTGAAAGAACAGGCAGCAGGGAGCCAACAACGAAGTACAGCAACATCAAAGCGTTGTGAACAATGCCAACCATAGGAATTCCCTCAAAATCTCTAACTGTGCAAAAATGTCCCATCTCACCTCTTCAGTGCTTCCATTTGCAGATCGCAGAATAGTCGTCTGCAGCGACTTCAGAGACGAAAGACACAGTCTCATTATGTGGAGGCTATGTAAAGTACACAGATGTTGAGGAGAGGACGAGGATGACGTTGTTGTTGTTGCAGCGCCCCGTGACACTACCTCTGTTCCGCCTCTGGTCTTTTCACGATCAGTCTGCACCGGCTTATATCTGGAAGATCGCTCACACACAAGCACTTCCTCGTTTGAAGACGAATCCCATTTTGTCATTGTTGTCATGATAATTGGGACGACGTTTGACACCATGTCCCAAATAGGAAATTGCCTGCAAGCATCCCACATTCGTTCCACGTCATCATCATCGAGCGATCCCTGAGCCTTCAGCACATCAAAGTGACACGTGCCACTCATGTGTCACACAAGCGATCACACATGTGCCACACATGCATCGCACATCCAGGATCTGCACTGATCAACATAATGAGCTATTGATTCCAGAGCCAGAATCGCTCGAAGGTGAAATGCTTTTTTTTTTTTTTTTTTTAAACGTGTCACAAAAACGTTTCACGCAAGTAATCACAAATGTGCCGCACATGCCCCGCACATATACAAATATTAAACCTGCATTGGTCGACATGATTGAAAGGATTCACCTGTCTTAGCGCCCAGCCGCAGTACCAAGTCCCATATTCCCCTTCTATTATAGTCCCTCCAGTAGACCCCTTTCTATATTGTCCCGCCAGTAGACCCCCTGTATATAATCCCGCCAGTAGACCCCCTTGTATATAGTCCCVCCAGTAGACCCCTTTGTATATAGTCCGGCCAGTAGACCCCYTTGTATATAGTCCCGCCAGTAGACCCCCTTGTATATAGTCCCGCCAGTAGACCCCTTTGTATATAGTCCGGCCAGTAGACCCCCTTGTATATAGTCTGTCTCTTATACACATCAGATGTGTTAGTCCCGCCAGTAGACCCCCTTGTATATAGTCCCGCCAGTAGACCCCTTTGTATATAGTCCGGCCAGTAGACCCCCTTGTATATAGTCCCGCCAGTTGACCGCCTTGTATATAGCCCCGCCAGTAGCCCCCCTTGTATACAGTTCCACCAGTAGCCCCCTTGTAAAAAGGTCCAAGGCTAAGGTCTGTACATACCTGTAGATGTGTTGTAGGGGTAGTAGGGTCAGTTAGTCAGCTTGGGACCACATGTTCGTCTGGGGTCGGTTGCAGCTCAGTCCAAAGAAAGTCCTTTGAGAGATAGCTGGCCGCCATGTGTCAGTCTGTGGTTGGTCGTAGCTCAATGACACGTTAACTCTGAGACACCCTTCCCTTCATGCAGATCAATGATACCGCCTGACACGGATGGGAACTATGACATTGACCGAGTAGTGGAGCAGGCTTAACTTCGGACAGGCAGAAGGGGACCACGCAGTCAACAGCTCCTGGTAAGATGGCAGTACCAAGGACAAGAAGAGGATAGATGATTACCCTAAGAACAGCTGCGTGAGATTGCACCCCGAATTGTCTCATGCTATGAACAAGCACGTAGGGGGGAATAGGTGGTACCGGGAAATGGGACTTGGTACCGGGATCAGGACCGGGCGCTGAGTTTGACAGATTAAACTGTGATTTTTGAACCATTTTTCTCAGAGGTGACAGGTCCTTAAAATTGGGCTGGCGGGAGTGAAAGCATTCTTGATTCTGTGTTAGGTCTCACTAGACCTGACATCCTGACCTGATCTATGAGAGGTATTGCGTTGGGGTGAGTCGTTCTAAGGAGCCATGACGAAGGCAGGGGGCAAGGAGGCTAACCAGGGAGGAAGGAAGGTAACCTAACCCAGTGATGCCAAAGGGGGAGGCTGAGCACGGACGATGATAACCTAAGATAAGCTAACCCAGTCCAGGAGGAGGTGGTTGACCAGCAAGGAGGCCAACCAGGGCGGTCATCCTTGGCGGAGGGTGACCAGGGAGGAGGTAAACCAGGGCGGAACCTAACCAAGGACGAGGCTAGCCACGTAGGAGGCCAACATGGGAAGAGGGTAACCTAACCCTGTGAGGGAGGAGGGTAACCTAACCTGGTCAGGGAGGAGGTTAACCAGTGAGGAGGCTAACCAGGGAGAAGGGCTAACCAGGGACGAGGAGGCTAACCAGGGAGGAGGCCAACTACGGATGCGGGTAACCTAACCCGGTGAGGGCGGAGGTCAACCAGGGAGAGGGGTAGTCTAACCCAGTAAGGGAGGAGGCCAACCAGGTAGGACGTTAACGAGGGTGGGGGATAAGGGTTAACCAGTGAGAAGCTGGCTACCAGCGAGGACGCTAACCTCAGTTAACTAGGTAAGGTTAACCTCCTCTGTGGAAAATGCAGGGAGGAGGCCAAGGAGGCTAATCGCACCTGAGTCGATTTGCCATGAGAAATGGAGCTCGCATTCCAGAGCATCGTGCTTGCTGGTAAGCTTCTAGCAGCCCACCAAACAACAGCATCCAACGGCCAGCAGACCATTCGCTCCGCTCCTGACCACCACATTGTGCAGGCTCGTCGTCACACTTTGTGGACTGCTGAATGAAATGCAGAATATAGAGAGGAAGAATTGCAAGAAGCTGCAAGAAACCAGAGCAACATCAACATATAGGATTCATGTTTCAATTTCGAAATCGAAATTTGAAAATCGAAAGTTCGGAAATCGAAGAGCAAATAAATAAAAAATCGAAAGAGTGAAATTTGAACATTGGGCATTGAGAATTGAAAATTGAACACCGCAAGGGTTTAGGGTTGAGGGTTTTAGGGTTTGGGGTGTAGGGTTTAGTTTGGAAAGGTCTAAATTTGAAACACTATTTTCACTATTGGACTTATCATAATGCGCATAGATCCATCATCCACCATCAAAATAAATGCACTCTGATGCACACTTATACGTGATTTATTAAAAAAAAAAAACAAGGCTGAATTTCTGGTCGCACCGGGGCCCCCTTCCCCCACCGGAACTGGGCCGGTGGTACCGGCTGGTGGAGAGCGCCGGTTCCCCCCCGGTTGCATTTTGCGCAATTCAATGGCGGGGGGGTTTCAATTTTTTTTGGGGCCGGGAGGCCTCCAAGCGGGTCGTGGAGGCCTCCTGGCCCCCGAAAAAAATCAACTGGGTCAGGTAGGCCCGCCAGATTGTTGAAAAACCGGCGGCCTATCTCGGCCGTCGATCTGGTGAGATCTGTGGCCCAGATAGGCCGCCCGTTTTTTAACATTCGGGCGGGAAACACCACCCTGCCTTCCGCCTCCAGCTGCTTTTGAGCAGCAGGACCTGTCACTTCGACACTTCGTCAAATGTGAATGAGGTCAAGACTGCACCCCCCCCCCCCCCCCCCCCCCCCCCCCCCCCCCCCCCCCCCACGTCCGCCCCAGCCTCGGATCACCATCGCCCCGGCCAGCTGTCCATCGGTAAAGGTGAGTCCTCGTTTGTTGTTCTCTGTTTGTTCTTCTTCATACCATCTTCTTCTTCTTCTTCTTACTATCTTCTTCTCCTTCTTCTTCTTCTTCT